CCTGCAACGCACACGGCGCCCCACGTCAGAGAGTGGCGGACGGCCAAGTTCAGGCAATGGATGCACAGGAACTGCTCTTGCAAACAAAAGGATGTGTAATAATTAACCAAAATGCAAAAACTGAGTACAAACTACATTTTTTCATATCATTTTATTCAATATTCAAAACTACAAAAAACAAAGATCTCAAAAGAATACTTAAAGAGAATTAAAACGTAAGAAAATTAAGGGGAAAATCTCTATCTTCAAATTGTAGTTGTAGCAAGACGTCAAACAAAATTGCACTTTTACGATTTTCGAAAAAAAAGGGATTTAAACGAACACCACCATTCTCTGCACCATTTTCTTAAGCGTCCTTTACGCTGTTAGACGACAAAGTTCAATAAAAAATTCGAACCGTTTCTGAGAAAATTTTTGAAAAGCTTTTGAGACTTAATTTAATGTATCCCCAAAATCAAAATACGCGTTTCAAACTCCCAAAGTCTGAAGTTTGTTGAGATTGATCAAGGAATATTAATTTTGGAGAATATTGTCTGAGTGGCCTTGGCACTAGTTTTTACCGCCGACGGGCAAACAGACAGACACACAGACAGACGGACGGACAGACAGACAGACGTTTTCCCGTCAATCGATTTTTCAGTATCAAGGACCCACAAAACACTGGTTTTGGCTACACCGTGTGTTAGGAAAAACAACTTACTATACAAAGGAACAGGATTTATCGACTTTTTTCGTTATCAGGGTCCGGCAATAAGAGTTTTTCTGCCGAAAATAGGCCGTTTTCCATTACATACCTTTCTCTTCCTATGAAATAAGTGCAAGAAAGTAAAAATTAATATTTCCGTTTCAAACAGGGCTGCAGAGTCTTAAAATGTTCCTAATAGCTGGGGAATATCGATTTTGGAGAAATTTGTTTATAACTGTTAGCTATAACCATAACTGTTTAGGCGCTAACGTTGTCCACAGACAGACAGACGTTTTGCCGTCAATCGATTTTTCGGCATCAAAGACATACATAACATGGATTCTGACTACACAACGCGTTAGAATTGTTTGAAAAAATAAACGCGACAATTACACAATAAATCTTCATTTGGAAGATAGAAAAGCAACGTAGTACACTAATTGGTTCGCAGACTTAATCCATTGTTGCGCGAAGAAGACAAACACACTCCAAGTCGAGAACACCGGCTTCCGATGTTAACATCAAACACTTAGTTTCACTATTCAGTTTTAACACTAATCCAATGTGGTTCAACTAATACCGAAAGTATGAAGCTCGAAGGATTTGTTCACGATTTTCGAGAGACGTTGTTCAGCATTTTAGGAAATATTTTTAAATTATGTAAACTTAAAATTAGTTCCAAAAAAATTAATATGTAATAAAACTATAATGTTACTAAGCACAACAGCTGAAGTGAAGTGCTAGACATTACAGTGGACATTAGCTGTTATTTTACTAGATACGTCCGTCCGCTATCGTGCAGTCGGTCTTCAATGCCTTGTAATGAGATGATGTCTTGCAACATCCGATTGGAAAAGCTGAAGTATCCACGCTCCATACTTTTTGGAGAAGTACACAACACAACCTCTTTCAGATGAATCAACATTGAAAAAACATCGTTTATTATGAGGAAGCGCTCAACAAAACACGAATGAGTGTTGCTGACGAAAATATCTAGGTGCCATTCAATCCCCTATGTGAATCGACATTGTGTTGCAAATGTTGTTGTTGTTGTGGTTGGTGATGGTGGTGGTGGGGGCCTACAAATTGCCGAACCTGGAGAAATTTCTCTCTTTACGTATAAATCTTTCTCCCTCTCTCTCTACCTCTCTCTCTCCCTCTCTCTCTCCCTCTCTCTCTCCCTCTTTCTCTCCCTCTCTCTCCCTCTCTCTCTCCCTCTCTCTCCCCCTCTCCCTCTCTCTCCCTCTCTCTCCCTCTCTCTCTCTCTCTCTCTCTCTCTCGAGAGAGAGAGAGAGAGAGAGAGAGAGAGAGATCTTTAATTCCATGTAAAAATTAAATTCCTTACCTTCTCCGTACAAATTCGTACCCATTTGTTCCTATGTCCCTCTTATTTCTCATAGAACAAAATGGGTATTTGTGCATCATAATTTCTATGCTTTGAATCTATGATACTGACAGAAGAGACTATACCGTGGTAATACAGCAATATGAAGTGCACACGTTAAAGACATGAAATCAAAATCTAAGGAGAATGAGCGTAAAATGTTATATGATACCCTAAAAAGTAATTGAGATACATAATTACCATATTCATTTAAGCTTTTTATTGAGATTGAGTATTTCCATTTTATGACGGAGACAACACTAAAATCTTCTTCTGGAAGTTATTACACTAAGAAATTTCAATAAAGTGGTCGGATAAATACGAATGTGAACTACTAAAGAGAATCTCTAGGTTGGCTAATATAGATTTTCAACCGAGACCCTCCTCCTATTCTGATAAACTACCGAGACGAATATTGTTATTCACAAGAATTACCTTGTGTCCGGTATGTATCTAACCTGCCTCTACGGTTTAGCCTCTACGGTTTGAGAGGTAACCTTGGCTAAGTGGTCATTTCGAATAACCACTTCTTAGGTGGTCGTTTACAATGCTCTCCTCACCCGCTGGGGCCCGCTCCTGAACGTCGATGCATACAAGGTATAGCGATTTATTCATTCTTCAAAAGGCAAGCTTGAACGACCCCAATCCGCCAAGTAGTCATAACGAATTGCATTCTTTAACACATGACACCTAATTATAAACGGTACATTCAGTACCATAATCATAACCAGTACTATTCACAAATCTGTAATTGCACCGTATAGTTCAGTTCATATGTTCTTTACATACCAAGAATATAAACAAAAAGTGGCTCTGACGCAACACGTAAATAACAACTATTAATTGGCGGTCGGCCTCTTTCTTGGAGGCTTTCCATGTC